AGATATTTCTAAATTTGAGCTCAGTTAGAATTTGGGTAATTCATTAATCTGTCTGTTATTCATCCAAGTATTTCATCTCCTTCTGCTTCCGCAGTAGCCATAACCTTTATTTTTAAGTGATTTTGAAATTATTACCTCAGTATCAGGCTTCAGCAGGAAGGTGCTATTTTGGTGGCAGTGTTAGATCTTAGCACTTGTGTGTAGATCTTAAGGTGCTTTACAAAGAGTGGTTTAGGTCTGTAAATGGGCTGTATTTTAAAAATGTGAGAACTGTTACTTTAGTACCGTGTATCATTTTCTTGGTAACAATGGAGAGAGCAGTGTTTTCCCTTTCATCCTCTCCCAGTATATTCCTTCCCAATTGAGAAGATTGTTCCCATTTTTGGGTTGACCTTCAGATGTTCAACAAAACTGTTTGCTAACTGAAGTCTGTGGAAAAAGTCCTCTGGCCCAGAAGAAGAGTTGATATCTCTGAGGTTGTATTTTAGGCAATTGGTAGAGTCATGAAAACCTTCTTGTCATCCTAAAACTTTTGGTAGATTCCGATTCTTTTCCAGTCTCTGAAGCTTAAAAACAAAACAAAGGAAGGTACTTTTACAAATGTTAACTTGAAAAAAACCAAACACCACTATGTAAGGAGAAAAGACATCTTTTCTTTCCAGTAATGTTCCAAAGCACCCAGTTCTTGCTGTTTCCATGCTGCTTACAAAATCTTCTAGTTAGAGCAAGCCATGGCATGGATGGATGGGAGTTCTTCCTCATGCTTTTTCCTCCAGTTTGAGAAAGATTCACGCACACCTAATTAATCCCAAAAGACTGGTAAGCTTTAGTTTTCTCTTTGTGATTGTAAGTAAGGTTAAAATTCATGACTCAATAGTTGCCCACCTTTTCTATGTTCTATAGATTTCTGTCTTCTTTTGAACCTTCTACGTGACATCTTGCACTATTAAAAGGGAAAGAATATGTTGCTTATTTTGACTCCTCAGGAGTTAGTCAGTCTTATATAGAGTCATAGAATGGTTAGAGTTGGAAGGGACCTTAAAGATCATTGAGTTCCAACCCCCCTGCTGTGGGAAGGGACACCTCCCACTAGACCTGGTTGCTCAAAGCCCCATCCTTATGAACCACTGATGTTTGATAAGATTTCAAGCATCATTCCTGCCTAAACTCTGCAATTCAGATTGGTTTTCCCTGCAGAAAAGTGTTAGATTGGGGGATCTTGTTCTTTTTTTCACCTTAAAAATAACATCTGTTTCCTCCTGCATTATTGGAATCCATGAAGAAGACTGGTGGAACAGGCAGTTAGCTTGTTTTGATATGATATCCTTCATAAATAGTGATGAACTGGGGATTGATATATATAGAGAAAGGGATCTCTTACAAGTTAAATTTGCAAAATTGCTTAACATATCTTCTAAAGATGGACTTTCTTCAGAGAAAATCTTCTCCATTTAGTAACTTGGGAAGAACTTTGATGAGTGTAGCAGATAGAGCACGCTTTTTGAGATATTTTAGGTCTGTTAATTTCCCAAATGTAATTGTAGTTTTCTGTTGTGATTTATTTTATTCAGCTGCATACTGCCATCATAAATTTATTGCATATTATTTAGCTGACTCTGACTTGTAGACAGAGGCTTGAATTTCCAAAATAAAATAAATGGGAGATGAACAAGGGTTGGAAAACCCCAAATAAGTTTGTCAAAATCATTGGTGCTTATTTAGGAGAAGGTAAAGTCTGATTAAAAAATTGGGTTTAGAGTTTTATGTTTGCCCTTGCAATGCTGCTTTACAGTTTCACTGTTTGTTTGTCCCCCCCCTCCTGTTTGAAAATCTTTAAGACAATAGAATATTTTTCCTCTGTCTTCAGTAATGTTTTATGTCTTTTACTTGTAATGAACTAGAGAGTTAAAATGATGATAAACTGACATATCATTCAATTGATTTAGCTTTAAAATATACATACACTGACATATCATTCAATTGATTTAGCTTTAGGTAGGAAAGTGGTAGGAAAGCATGGTGGTTTAGAGCCACTGTTCTTTCATAATAAAGTTACATTTTGTACAATAAAGAATATCAAAGCTTATTATGAATATTACCAAAGAAGGTGTGTCAGGTTTACTTGAATGTGTTATTTTTAGCTACTCTGGATTTGAAGGCCAAGTCATATTTGTAAGTAACATAAAAACTATTCACATGAAGAAAAGTATTTTTTTTATGTTGGAAGGAATTCGGAGTCATTGCAAGCTTTTTAATTAGTATTCATGGCATAAAAGGAAGTTATTTTCAGGGTAAAGGAATTTCTGAAAAGATAATTGGTTAGACCAACATTCTCATTAACCTAATTTGCATTAAATGTGCTTCTGTGAATTGTAGTTATTGCTTTTCCATTTGAAAGGCATGCTTTGTTAGCTTATTTAAAGAGCCTAGTTAAACTACAGTTTAAGTCATAGCCTTTAATTCAGCAATACAGTATCAAACTGAGGATCTGTTATTACCAGCTTTGTGAGTGTGGAGAATCATCAGCCAGTTTTTGATCTCAGTGGATTTTCCTGATGAAGTACGTTTGTTTAGCTGCTTTACGTACGGTCACTCTCAGACACTGAAAGCATTCCACTAATCCTTCAATTTAATGTTACTCCTTTATAAGAGCAGAGGAAATTCTTTATTTCCCCTGTGACACAGCATTAGAAATAACTGAAGGAGCCTTGGGGATATTGGAAGAAAATACTTATGTCTTTGTTCTAATAGCATGAAGACTTGGAGGATAACTTGGGCTAATCATTTTCTTTATGCATGTAACTAAATTGGACATTTAAAATATGAGCTGTTAAAACAGAAATTAATTTGCACATTTTCGTACACGTCTTAAAATTATGAGACTGAAGAATGAATTTGTAGTTCTTTAATTTTCAGCACTGGTTATTACTTATTAGTATTCTAGATATTTTGAAACAGAGGGATTTGCACCTGTGTCAGCAGTGAGTCAACTGTGAGTGCTCAAGTGAAGTATTTGCATCTGCAGGTAGATAAATAAGGACAGGATGTTGTTTTTCCATAGTGCCGAGCGTACCTAGCTGTCGTGGAACCTAACCTGGTGTCTGTGAATTGTATGAACTAAACATGGATAACGTTAGGCAGCTCTTAGGATATCTAAATGTTAATTTCAGTGCTTAATTTTAAATAGCTGCACTTTTACTGTTTTGATACTGCTTGTTTTCAAACCAGTAATACCTGGAGGCACTGATTGTAAAGCGAAGCGCAGCCGCTCAGGCAGGGCTGTGTGTCAGCCCAGGAACGCTGACCAGTGGGGGATAAACCTAATGAGAACGGGGAGATGCACATTCAACCTGGATATGGTAATGGTCATAAATATCTATATAAGTACTCAGCTGAGATGGTCACCTTATTGCTAGAATGTTTCTGCAGATGACGATGGTGGACATGCCAGGTACACAGTGCGATTAGCATATGAGTACACTGCATACCCAACGGGCATACATGAAATGCAATGAGTTAGTAACGCACTGTAGATATAAATAAAAAAAGCCATGGCCAATACATTTTACATACTAGCTGGGAGATGGTTAGGTCTCCCTTTTTTTTATTGTTTGGCAAAGAAATATGCCACTTGCTATGCCATTTTGCTGCTTATTCATTCTGTTTGCAAAACAGAAGCTGGCTGATGGTTGCACTATTGAGTAAAATTGCTGAAAGGCTGAACTCCCTTACACTTTGGGACAGGCAGACAATGGAAAAGAAGCCCATTTTGGGGACAGCACGTTATATGTTCAGGTTTTGTATGCGGGATTAAGGGCATGATTCAGGAATTGTCAAAAGTATGAGTGGCAGTTAGGATATTGAGAGCCAAATGGAAGTTAGAAGCTCAGTTGTTGGTAATGCCATAGAAAACTTCCTGTGGCGCGTTTATTCTGTTAGAGGTTGGGAAAGAGTGAGCTGTTGCTTCTCAACTGCGGGACTAAACCCAAGTGATTTACAGGTGATCTGCCATTCTGAGGATCAAATTTCATCTCCTTCACACAGTAATTCACCAGGTTGTTTTGTTGGTTGTTTTTTTTTTTTTTCCCAGTAGAGCACCTGAAACAGCTATTGGTTCTCAAAGTGCACGGTCTAAGAAGGCCACGTCCCATACTCTGCATCAGCAACACCTTTGCTTTCTGTTACTCCAGACCTTTGGCAGTCATCTTGCAACCCTAATCTTTCCTGATTCCTCTGTCCCAGACCTTACTAATTTTTTGTGTTCCTGGAATTCTTGTGTGTTTCTTCAGTGAGTAAATTTATGGGACTGTTTTCACAGCCCAGCATGGTATTGCAATAGAAATATTGCATCGAACAAAACAATAACCCAAACCTTGCTATAGTAATAAGTTCCTGCTGCCTTGGAGGAATGTGGTAGGAGGTTAAAAGATCCTATAACTAAGGTTAAATATGTAGCTTGATTAGCCCTATTTGAGATTTCTTTTAATTCATTCCCTTATGCATATGAATTGGAGTTAGGGTTCAGTGCCTTTTTTTGATGACTTGCTGGAGTAGGGACTAGTTCAAGAAAGAGAGAGTCTGGAGAATTTAGCTACCAGACAACAAGAAGTCTTTACCTGGCCTGTACAAACTGATTTTTGGGGTCTCTATAATCCATTTTGAGAGAGGTTTGCATGTAGATAAGAGAAGGTCTAACTTTAGCACATTCAAAGCTGTTCATAAAAACTGCACTCTGCGAATACGGTACGTATTCCTACTATGTTGTCCAAATAGGACTTTTAAATGAAAGTCTTGCTTCTTGACATGGCCCCCCCTTGCTCAGTTTTGAGTTTTTGTGCCTTTTTTCAGTACTGTTTTTGCAAATAAGAGATTAAAATATCTTTCTATAGAACTTTGGGTTAAAGATGTGACATTGAATTTACTTCTGTAGGATTGGGAACTTTGGAGACAGCTTCTTATTTTTTAAAAAAATAAATGTATTTTTTATTTATTTTCTGTAGGAGATTCCTTCACACAGTTCCGATTTGCTGATGAGAAGGAGTGGGATAGAGAAAGCATCTGCCAGAAACAGGTAAAAGAATTGTCATTCAAATGAGTTTGTACGGATAATTGCCTGATAATTGACAGAGTATCTAGGCAGTTGTGCTTTCAGCAACAAATTGCTTAATACAATAATAATTGCACTATTTATTCTGTATATTTTTATTGTCTCTGCTGTTGGGAGCTTTTGGAGCTTGTCCTGTTTTTTTTCTATTGAAGACTAATCAAATGAGCAAGCTGGGGTTTTAAGTAACGTTGGAAGAAAAGAACAAGCAAACCCATCCAGTGAAGGGAAAATAAGGAACTGTCACTTTGCTCTACTGACATACCAAGTCAGCCTGCCTTTTTCAGCTGTATTTAAGAGAAAATAGTTTAGTAAAATGACTATAACAAAACTTGTATGAGTATACTCGTATATTGGACTATGAAGCTTGTTCTAGTTCTTTCAAATTGACAGCTCGTATTCTGTGGTTGAAATTTCATCTCCAGAATGACTATTATGGGACCAATGAGGTTTTAGATGATTTGTCTGTGGATTCCGTATGCTGGAAAGGGTCAAAGCAATAGGAGTCTGCCGTTTTCTGGACCTTTTGGGAGCAGAGTGAATTCCTTTGACAAATCTCTTACGATACATCAGAAAACACTCTCTCTTAATTTATGAGTATTTGGACTTCCAGATGTCTGTGTCGGTCTATGCCATATTGACAGGGACAAGTTTTTTTGTCTCTTTAAGCTAGATTTAGAAGCAGGTTTTCTGCTTATGTGAAAATGAGAGTATCAACTGAAAAACATGTTGTTATTGGATTTTAAAATACGTGAGGGATATCAAATTATCTTTTACATCAATGGTGAATGTGCTCAGAATGTTCTGCTGTACTGTGAGATTGAAATCTGTTTAAGTGTAGCAAAGTCCAGGGTGTTCTGTAAAAACATCAAACATTGCTGGTTCATGTTCTGTAAATTTGTTTTTAATAGTTTGGAGCCAAAAAAAAAAGGGGGGGTGAAGAGAAAAGGAAACTTCAGTAACTGTCACAATAATAAGTGACAGGTCCACCTTTTAAGCAAGTAGGCAGCAGTAGAGTATCTTTCTTTAGTATCTTGGGTATAATTTTAAAAGTTTATGTAACTTACATGCTTTTGTAAGCATCCAAACAATGTCTTAGAAGATGGGGAAGTACAAAAAGGGCCATGTTATTTAGGCACTAAAAAAACCCAGTAGAGCTACACATGAGCTGCGTGGTTTGATTGCTTAGAAAATCGTAGCAACTCATTAAAGAACAGTGATTTCCACTGCATAGAAAGCTTCACAGATTAAAAGATATTTGAGTTGGAAAAGCCTCTTATGACATTGTCAACTTGCAGAACTATTTCCTACTTTGGATTTTAAAGGTATTGCCTGAGGAGCATTCCATTTATACCTTGTTTTTAAACCTTGAAGTGATTGCATTGTAAGTGTTTTAAGGTAATTTAGCCGAACTGCTTTGTACATGTGTAATTATAAACTATTAATTCCTGTATTTCATTAAGTTGTTTTTCATATTCCTTGAATTTGTTGAACAGGGAAATGTAATAGAGTAAAGTCATTATTAGTTCATTTATCTATTTATCTATTTATTTATTTATTAATGCAGGTGTACTGTGTTGAATTATGTTTCAGTTATCTGCACTTTCAGTTGACTGCCAGTCTTTGGTCCAGGCCCTTCAGGAATTGCCTCTACATCTGAGGTTGAATGTAGCTGCTGAACTTGTCCAGGTAATGCTGTGAATTTTCACCAAAAAATGCAAATAGTTTGAGTGAAACAATCTATGCAAGAACGATTACTTTAAACTTGGTCTTCAAACATAAGTAGAATGCATTTCCTAAGTAGATACATTTTTTGAGACTGGCAGGTAATGCAGGAGGGCCCTCTCTCAGCACTTCTTATGCTTTGTTGGCTTTAAATCAAATGCTTTGATGTGCAGCACTTTAGATTTGAAGCCAGTATCGGAGTGTCTGACATGGAATGCTTTGATGTGCAGCACTTTAGATTTGAAGCCCGTATCGGAGTGTCTGATGGAATGATTGTATCATTGTATCATTACTTCTCTGTTAGCAGCTGTTAAAATCTTGTGCCAAAATTTTGAAAGTGCTTTCACATTCTTTCCTGTTAATTATTTTAATGCTGATTTACTCTTCTACACAGCTAATATCAGTATGTTTATTCCATGAATCAAACTTACATTTGTGTTAGAACAGGTAGAACTGTCAATTGAACAGGTAAAGAATATGTCATTTATGCTCTGGTGAAAAAAAAATGTAGCAAGAGAATATTAGGAAAAAAATGTTTCTTCAGGCGGTGGGGAGACTTAAAAAAAAAACCAAAATTTTTAATAAAAAAAAAAAAAAAAAAAAGTAAAAAAATTCATCTGCTTAAGCAAGAAAAAAGAAACATGACCCTTACAGAAGAAATTTTACTTCTGTTTGGAGTTGCATGAAATGCTTCTGTGACTGAAACAACTCTGCTCTTTCTTACGGGAGCTCAAATACATCTGTAGGTGTTATGTCTACAGGAATCTGCAAGTAAATGTTTCTTTCAAATACAGTTCTCAAGATTTCTACTCATGGTCTTTAGCTTTAATCAGGGTTATAACGCGTGTTGATATTTAATCTTTGTCGTCTTATTCTGATGGGTGATGCGGTCATCAGACACGCTGCAGTGTTATTAATGCCAGGGCATTTGGATAAAAGTAGAATCTATGTTCCACAGCCATTTCTTGTTTCAATATTTGATAATGTTTTGTAATTCGGTTTCATTTTTCAAAATATACAGCTATATACTACAATTTTTGCTAAATGATAACCAGCAACCTGTCGTATGGTTTGCTTTCAAGACTGGAATTTTGGAGGAAAGGCCTAACATGGGATGAAGTTTCTAGCCAAATTCTGACTTCAGTCATTCCAAAATTCATAGTATTGATGGGATTTCATTACAGAGGAATTAAAGAAAATTACCTCTCCAGGAAGTATTTGTAAAACAATGGCATTTGGTGATTAGCATACAATCTCTTATTCCATAGAAAGGGATCAATTGAGTTTTTGTTTTGTAGTTGCTTCTGTAAAAGTCTCATCAAGATAACGTTAGTTTGCTTTTACTTCTGAAGGCAATTCTGCTGAAATTCATCCTACTTTCTTAAGTGTTATCAAATATAGGAAGCAATGAATTAAAATCCAAATTAGACAGAATAATAAAAATGGGTTAATCATTAAAAAGACTCAAGCCCTTTCTTGTACTTTTAGGCATCAACACCTGTAGAGCTCCCACAGATGAAACCTAAAATGATTGACGATGGCAAGAGGAGAGAGCTGCTCTTCAGAGGGTCGCCGGCTCAAAGTGAGACGCTGTTGGGCTCCCGTCCCGTTGGTGATTCTGTGGCTCCGTCACAGCCTGGAAGTAAAAATGTTCCAGCGGAACCATTTCAGAGAGCGCAGCCACTGTCAAAGCAAGAGACTGACCATTTGGATGAAGAACTGGATCTTCTCCTAAATCTAGATGCTCCCGTTCATACAGAAAACAGACCTGTGTCAGGTGCATCATCCTACAGCGTATCAACTGAGAAAGAGTTGAAAACGGATTGTAAAGAAAATGGTAAGATTTCTCTAATCCCCAGCATGCCCTTATTTAATTTCCATTGCTCTCTGTTTTGGTGATGTTTTTGAACTCTTCATTAGCCAGTCAACAGCGCTGCTGTCATCATCTCTGTCATACTGAATATGTTCTGGCCCATTTGTTCCTTTTCAGTTTTAACTCCCCACTGAAATTAAGTTTTACAATTTTCAGGTCATTTTAAGCAATAAAAGAAATTATTCTGCAGAACAGCATTCATTTGATTCAGCAAAATTCTAAATTAAATAAAACTAATGCAGTGCTAGAAAATTTTAGTGAGAGGCAGATAAAATGAAGCTTTTATTTAACATTATCAACCCTTAGTTCAATGCGCTAAGAGTATACAGAAGAATTGACAGCTATTTCTGATGGCTTGCTATAAATTCTATTTTCAAACTTGATTAGCATTGATTTTATAAAAGCCCTTCCCCTCAGGGCTGCTCTTCATCCATTCTTCACCCAACACGTGTTTGTGCTTGGGACTGCCATGACCCACTTGCAGGACCTTGCACTTGGCCTTGTTGAACTTCATGAGGTTCACACAGGCTGTTCTTTTCACTTTTCTAGACCCTTTAAAAGTAGCTGTGCCTGAAGTGACGAGTCCAGCACCGCAGCAACAGCAACGTGCATCTAAAGATGTTACCGAGGAAGAGCTTGAAGACTGGCTGGACAGTATGATTTCCTGAAGCTCAAATTTTCTTCTGTGAATAACCGAATACAGCAAACATTAAGTAGAAAGTTGAATCTTCCCTTCTCTCTTTATTTCCTTTATCTGTTCCACTTTGTTCAGTATGCCAAATGCCCCGTTTTCTTTGCTGGCACCTAAAATTCTGTGCAACCAAAATTCATTTAGCTGTGACTGAAAATTGTAAGACTAGTGTTCTTGGAAAGGTCTAAAATTTGTGATGAAATTTGGATTCTCTTTGCTCAAGATGCAGGCTACAGCACACCAAGCAAACAGTTATTTCAGCTTGTACTCCCTCGCTGTAGTCCTTAAAATAAAGCTATGAAAGAACAATGAATATGTGTGGTTTTAGTCACCATCCTCATGCCGCATCTCCGTATTGCAGAAAAATGAGAAAGAAATATTTGGTTCATAATACTTTATTGCAGTGGGCACTTTTTATTAGAAGAAAAAAAATGCATAATCCTAGCAGCTTCTACTTGCAGGTGACCATTGAGCATTGTTTAATTTTGGCCTAAGATTTAAATTGTATTCATTTTGATACAGTGTATGTCTTTTAACAGCAGCATCTAATAAGCTGTTATTGAAGGTAGTATATAAACAAACTTCAAGTGCAATTTCATACAGAAAGACAGGAAAGCAATACAGGTAATGGGTCTGTTCATCTAGAACACTAACATAAATAAAAAGTTTGCATAGCTATGTCTACAGAGGTTTTAAGGCACTTAATGTTTCAAGGTCAAAGAAGTATTTGAAAATGTTTTCTTTTTAACTGCTTAAAGCTTTTCAGGCTGTATCTGAATACATTCACTAGCAAATACTGGGGGCAAAAACTGGACAGCAGTTAAACTATCTTTTGTGAGGCATGGCCTCTGATGTTCAAGTTCTTAAATGTGAAATGTGCGATTAAGACACCTTTTAGCCCTTTCAACTGTACTGCCAAACACCAAGTTAATGATGTGGTTAAAAAGTTGTTATAATTTCAGACCGTGTTTGAACAGGAAGGCTTAAGTTAATCTGGCATAGGTTCCTCTTTTGTAATGAAAATTCCAACAAAAGACCTGTTCCATATGTGGTAAGTACAAAAAGCCTATGAAATAGTGTCAAATTTTATCTATGTTTTGAAGTTTAAAGACATTTAAAGCAAATACAAGCTGTGAAATTACACCATGAAAAAGAAAAGAAGTTTTTTTTGTATATTGGATCTTAACAGTTCATGAATAAATAATTTCTTTTGTGATATTAGCCAAGTTGATCCTCATACTGTTTCCGGAAGCAGTCCCCTGCTGGGAAGAAATCCCAACATCGCTCTTGGTACATCTTCCACACAAAGGACTCCTGGAAAAGGTAAGGAGTATTTATTTTAACAGACATCTTGCAGTAGGTGCTCAAGGTAAACTTTGAACAGGAGCCAGGTGCTGTGCCCATTACCATGGAGTAGAACCGTGAGGACTCTGAAACTCAAAGACGGTAACTCAAGAACATTTGTAGAAGTATTTTTTGGCACTTCTCTTGATTCAGTACTATGGAAATTTAAGCCCTATTAGAAAAACTGCATCAGTAAATCAGTCTAGTTGTATCAGAGCAGACTTGTTCACAAATTGTATATATAAAATGTGCTTTACTTTGCTTAGAAAACATGGAAGTGTTACGTACTTTTATAGTGTTGCCATAACAGCTTATTTGAGATAAGATATAATTAAATCCTGTTTATTTTCTTATTCATTTATATTTAGGGCCTAACAACACCAAACATCCATACACACTTATTCATTTATATTTAGGGCCTAACAACACTAAACATCCATACACACATCCATACACCTATCTATATATGGATTTAGACTGTAAATATAATAGCTTAACTACTGAATCTTTTGGGAATAACTGTAACTGGTATATTGCAGGGTTTAACTTCAGAGCTCAGGTGACAGTAAGGTTACTTGTATCTGACTTCTGCAGAGTTCAGTGCTGGGCAGAACAGCACACTGCTGCAGCCCACACCCTCCCTGTTTTTTAACCCTTCCTTAGCTTTCAGTGGCAGAAGACTTTCAGGGAGGGTGGCATCATCTCCACTCCTTGGTGGTACATCAGTTCCACCTGGTGGTACGGAGAAGATTAAAATGTTGAAAGACAATCTTAAGAAAAATAATTAAGTTTTATTTTCTACTCACCTGGCCAGTATGCTCAGTTTCATCCTTGTTAATGAGATACATTAAAAAGAACCTGAAACAAGCACATGATGAGGGTATTAATACAGAAAATGTGGTATCTCTGCCCAACCTGTCCTAGACTGGGGTACGGGAGGGAGATTCTGCCAACCATCAAAGCAACGATATTGCTAGGGGTCTAAAGTGCTTATGTTAGAGGAGAGAATTCTGTCCCCCAGCACTTCTCCTGTGGAAGTGCCAACAGATGGAAAATCTGTAGAAGTGGAAAATGCAGTTTAACATTTTCTTCATTTCAGTGCTAGGAGCAATACCTGCGTTAGGCATGTGCCCACACCTGGGCACATATGCTGCAGCGTCCTACCCTTGGAGAAGCTCCAAGGGCTATACATAGCAGTTAGAAGTGTGGCAAATACTTGGCTGCACCAAGATTTCCAAACGCTTGTGCTCAGGCTCTCTCAGGTACCTGTGCTCACCCCAGTGCAGAGAGCCTGAACTCACTAGAAAGGCTGCAGAGTACTAACAGGGGTCTGTTTATAGTAACACAGCTCCTGGTTAGACACTTCTGATGCAGTGCATTTGGAATTAAGCTTGGTATGTGCTTTCATAAAGAAAGGAGTGTATGTTGAATATAACATTTGCCTAATTAAAGAGTAACCTGATTAGGAAGACTGTTTACTATATATTCCAATATTAAAAAAACAGCCATTTTTAATTTACTGTGAATTACAGGGTTCCCATCTATTAATTAAGCAAGCCAACATAGGTAAGAAAAGGTTGGAGGTTATAGACAGGTATTAATGGAAATTTGCCTCACAAAAACAATGTGCATTGATTTTGCAGTGTCAGTTGCTGAGCAAGGAATAATGCAGCCCCCACTCCAGGAGGCACAGTTGGTTTTTTGTTTTTGTTTTTAATTTGAGAAGTTCATATGCAGCATTCCAAAGCCAGACTTCTGTAAGATACCAGCGGTTCAGCTCCTTTGGTTCTGCTGGCACAATGCTCATATAATTATCATTTTTGTAAGAGTAACTAATGCCACCAAGTTAAATTTTTTAATATCCTCTTTGATCTGCTCTGTATTTACTAATGGAAGTAGAAGATCATTGTCTTGGGAGTCTGGGCAATAGTCTAAACACACACAACTCCCGATTGCTTCGAGGTTTTGGAAAGCTGCACTATCACTAAAGAACTACAGGAACTACTTACAGATAGTTTGCCAAGTTGTGTTCTTGCAAAGTATGTGTTTCAAAGCCATGGGGGGTTGTGTCAAAATAGTCATTGCCGATTCCACAAATAAAGCATTTGGTCTGGAAACACAAGTTAAGTTAAAATTCATTTGTAACCACAAAGATGCTATTTTAACTGGTAATAATCTAGATGGATAAGAGTAATGAAAAAATGTAGTGTGCTTACTCATACCTCCATATCTTCTCTCACTTGTTCTTGCTGGTCTCTTAATTCACCGAAAGCATCGATGATCAGACCTATTTCAAATGGAAAAGTAACAGCACGTCAGTCCTTAGCAATATTCCTATTTCAAGTACTGTCTGTCAGACATCCTCCACCGTAAGTTCAGTGAACTTACGTCCAGGTTGAATGATTCAAGTTACAATCTATCAGTTTCCAGACCTCTAACGTGCTCACACTGCACTCTGGGCAGTAAAAATTTCTCTTACATGGAAGTACAAAATTGAGACTGGAAGGGCTTTTCTGTACTTATATTTTGGTCAATTTAAGCTTCCACAATCTCATCTCTTTTTTTCCCATGAAAGAATTTAACTTTCATTTTTCTTCTCATGGAACTCTTGTATCTGAACTTTTGTTGAACACCGACGACTCTGGTCCCACAGCCCCCTGGCCAGTTTGTGATTGGTGCTTCACAACTGAAGCATTATTCCTCCACTGGCAACACACTAAGAATAGAGTTGGATCATCGTAACTTTTTCTCAATATAGATGTATTATGTTTTTTCTTTGCCGCCACATTGCCATAAAATGATGTTTTTTCCTGACAGCCTTAGTCAATTTATACAATGAGTGTTGAATACTGACAGTGATTCAAGACAGGTCTGTGTGTACACAGACACAACTGCAAACCAATTATAACTGCATATCATTCTCTAAAGAAAGGAGGAAATGGGTACTTGGCTGTGGTGACTTTCTCCATGTCGTATTCCCTTTCTGAGGGGAAAGTCTCCATTCCCCAGCCAGCTGTGGTGGTTCCAAACTAAAGGTGTGAAGAGCATCTACAGCAAAGCTCTCCAAGTTTAAATGGCTATTATAGGAAGAACAGGGATCCTGCACAAGCTGTGTCATTGCTGGATAGTTGTCAGAGTGTTCATAAACACTGTGACCCAGGTAAGTTATATTTCTTGTGCTTTGTCTTTGTGTAGTACTTGGGATCATGCGTTATTTATGAATTAAGTATAGAATTATTACTTTCAGAATTAATGATTTTATCAGCTCAGAAATATCAGTCTTCAAAGTAGTATTTATACTTATATATATATATGTAACATATATACTTCAAAGTATATTTAGCAGAAATATACCTCAAACACAAATATGGTTTAAATACATTGCAGAACTTAAGTGAACTAAATTCTAACAGTCTCTGCTAAGGTAAGTGATGGTACCTTGAATAATGGCCAGTAGGATAACAATGACAAAGAAGAAAAATGTGATGTCAAAGACAATTCGATACATTTCATAAGGGTCTCCAGCAGGATCCTCGATCTCATCTCCAATGCCACCACCGGCTCTGACACCCACGTACATGTGGAACAGGTAACACTAAAAAAGAGAGGGGAAAATGACAGATATATTTACCGTGAATTATTCTGTTTAGGTTGTTTTTTTTCTTTCATGAAAATTATTCTGCTCTGTTAATTCTCTTCACAAGTTACAGTAACAAAGAACACAGTATCATTCCTCACATCTCACACGCACTGGACCAAAAGTCTGTTCCTGTATTAACTGATGTCATTACATCTTCAAGTACACTTACTAAGAGGGGGAGTCAGCTGTCACCCTCTCCTCGCTCCCTACGTCCTTCTTACAGACTGAGACCAATTGGGAGGCATTTTTCTTGTATTTGTTACTGTATTCAACTATATTCTATGCCTTCTATTAATTCCTAAGGTTCTAACTTGCTCTGAGAAAGCAGA